ACTGATTTGTTGTTTCTTTTCTCTATTAGTTTATTTTTAATTAAGTTAGCTTCTTTGTCAACAATTTCTTTTATTCTCGTTCCTTCGTTTAAGTATCTTGCAGAGTTTATGGATTGCAAGAACTCTCCAATGATATCTAGTTTAATCACTGGGTCTGTAATCGTGATCTTCTCTTCATTGTCATTGTTTTCAATTTTTAGTTTTTCAATAATAGGATCAGTTCGGTTTAGGACTTGATCACCGATGTGTATATTGTTTTTTTTCCTTAAAAATCTGTTGATTTTTGGAAAAAATGTTGAAGCATCCTTATGGTTAATTTCCTTTAGTTGTTCAGCATAATAATTGGTGGTAGCTTTTGCAAACTCACTCCGTAGTTCTGCTTTTACTATCTTGATTAGATCTTTTGTTTTTTTTATTTCTGATTCTTTGTCTATTGAGTACTTTTTTTGTAGTTTATGTAATTTAGTTAGCAGTTCAGATTTATTTTTTTGCAGCTTTTTTATTCGGGAGTTGAGAAATTTCAGGACACTATTTTGTGGTTTAAATTTTGGTACGACTTCTTCTATTGATTTTACTATTGTTTGTGATAAATTACTAATGTAGTTATCTATTTCCTCAATATCTAGATTTTTGTCATCAGGAATTATTTCTTGATATTTTTGTTGCAAGTTACGGGTGAATTTCGGCCACTTAGTTGCTTTGTAGTTGAAACGGTGTTGTTTTGTCTTGTCGTTGAGGTATTCTTGATCATTGGGAAGTTTAGCTGTAAATCCCAGAGCTAGATGGTCGCTGTCATAAGGATATGTCTTGATTTTGTTGTCCTCAAGGTCAACGAGTTGTAGATTCGTAATGCAGATGTCAAGGTAGGTTTGGCTATCTGGTCTAGATGGTGAGCTCGTTGTAAATATTTTCGCTCCGAATTTGGGTGCATCACGGATCTCCCATTTTCTTAAATATTTACCACGGTCATTGTCGTCGTGGTCGCCCCATTCCTTGCGTCTGGCGTTAAAGTCGCCTGCAATGACATATCCGCTTTTGTCATTTTCGATTTTTATGTATAATTTTCATCAAGGAGGTTTTTTCCCAGCTTGTAAAACAATTGGTTGAGCTCATCTGTAAAGATAGTTTTATTGTGATTGGTAGCATATAGGCTGATAAAATATATGTTGTTAAAATACTTCCTATCGGTATGCAGGTTTATTATTGTGTACTCTACTAATTCATTGTTCATGGAGGATGGATGTTTAATGATATCATAGTTAAGGTCTCTTTTTATCAAGACTGCAGTTCCTCCTCCATTGATTGAATTAGGTCGGTCTGTTCTTATCAGGTCGTAGTCCTTGAACGTTATTTTATGGTTGTTGTTTAATTTTGTCTCAGAGAGAAGTACTATGTCCGGGTTGGTTTTGTTGAGCAGGCGAAGTAGTTCTAGTCTTCTAGCATTATGTTTTATTGAATTTACGTTTATTGCAATTATTTTTAGCAATTGATTGGCCTCAGAAGGGCGTAATTTCTTTTTTTCAGTCATTGATGATGTATTATTCATAATTTATGCCTAGTTTTTCGAATAAATAGTCTACTCTTTTGTTAAGTTCGTCAAATTGACTTACATTGTTACTTAGTCCAACGACTTGTTGGGATAAATTATTGAGTCCTTGTAGCATTGCATTAGCCCACTGTGGGACTTGTTGTTCTTGACTACCTTGTCTTGTGTTTTGGTAACTTGTTGTTGTGTTGTAGTATGCTGGCTGCTCTACTCTGTTGAAGTTCATTGGTTGTCTAGGCTTTGGGAGACCAGGCCACGCATTTTCTTGTCTCAATCCATCTGCGTTTCTTTCATTTATCTGTTGCTTTGGCGTTGCCATAAATATTCTTGTATTGTTTGTTTGTGTTCTGACTCGGCGTTTGTTAGGTTCGAAGGTTTCAGTTTTTACAAACTTACGGAACGGGCATCCTGCATAGCTTGCTGGGTGACCTGTTTCCCCGCAGTTGACACATTTCAGATTAGTTTTTGGTTTTTCTAAATTAATCGGGCATTTTCCTCGTTCATGATCACTGCGTCCACATTTGACACATCTATATGTCATATGGCATTGTGAGCTGGTGTGTCCTAGACGCTGGCAATTTTTACACTGTAATATATTATTCTTGATTAGGTGCTCCCACATTGCGTCCTGGGAAGCAATTTTTTTGATTTGAGTGAGATTTTTTTTCTTGCTTTGTGGCGATATTTGGATGATGAAATGTTTTTTATTGAATTTGCTTTTTTTGCATTCAATAGGAGTTATTCTAATTATTGTGACATTTTCAATGTTCATATTTTTTAATTCTTCAAGAATATCTTCTTTAGTATAGTTACCATAGATATTTTTTAGTACAACCGTCTGGGGTTTACTTTCCAGTGGTGTGTACGTATAAAACTCTTCACCAATTTCTATTAGTTTGAGTTTTATTGCTTCGTACGTTTCCTTGTCAGATGCAAGGATGGTGTGGTTTCCGTCGTTCTGCCTTATTCTTATGTTATTTTTATTTATTTTATCACTCGTAAGCTTGATCGCTGTTTGTTTAATGTCCTCTCCTTTTATAAAGATTGGTTGTTGTCTGTACTTTTTAGATGGAGTTTCTATCTTATCATCGTCAGGTGGTTTGTTGTTGTTTACACCACTGGATGTGCTAGCTTGTTCATTTTGCGTCTGTGAGATGGCGTTGTTGTTATTACATAAAATCTCAAATTGGTTTGCACTAAGTAATTCTTTTTTATTAAAGTTTTTTTTGCGAGCTGCTTACCTTCACTGGGTGTTTGGGTTTTTCCCAGCCATCGTCAGTTGCCATGTCTGACGAACTTGATGTTGTTCTGCTTCTTGATAGATTTGGCTTTATGTTAGCACTTTTTTTTGTAGGTTTGTTATCTAGTGTTTTTAAAATCTCCTTGTATTTTCTTTCAATATTTATTGAATTAATTCTCGTTCCAGAGTTTCCTTTGGGAGCTTTAGAACTTTGAATGACATCATTATTTGTCCCTGGTCTCTTTCTTTTCATGTTTACACTCGCTTCTGCCGTCGCCATCTTGGCTGTCGGCTTGTTGGCCGTTGTCTCACACTTATTTATTATTGTCTCAATTTGTATTGTTTTTGTTACAAATTAGACTAAAATAATTATTGCTTACTTGTTTTTATTAATGTTGTTGTGATTTTTTGGTTTATTCGTTCTCGATTTTCTGTTAGATATTTTATAAGAATAGTAGTCACTCATGAGCGATGCTTTACCAGTTAGGCTATCTGAGACGCTGCACGAAGTGTTCGATTCAGTGACATGATAAGGTGTCAAAACCAAGTCATTTTTTTCATTGTATAGATAAAAATAGCTTAAATAAAGTTATATTTTTTCCATGACTTCAAAATAATAATCGTAATAAATGATTCAAATTTTTGATGATTACGAATTTCTTGATTTCGAAATTACGGTGAAATTATTAACTGTATAAAAAAA